GAGGAAGAGAGGTCAGCGCAGGCCGCCGGGTCTCTCGCCAGGTCATGGTGGTAGTCATGAAATAATTAACAAGGATTGTGGGGGTCGAGCGGGTGCCTGCGACCTTCATATTGCCCTCTCCTGTTGCGTCATACTCTTGCGTCATACTGCTGCGTTAGTCTCTTGCGTCATACTGCTGCGTTAGTCTCTTGCGTCATACTGCTGCGTTAGTCTCTTGCGTCATACTGCTGCGTTAGTCTCTTGCGTCATACTGCTGCGTTAGTCTCTTGCGTCATACTGCTGCGTTAGTCTCTTGCGTCATACTGCTGCGTTAGTCTCTTGCGTCATACTGCTGCGTTAGTCTCTTGCGTCATACTGCTGCGCGTTAGTCTCTTGCGTCATACTGCTGCGTTAGTCTCTTGCGTCATACTGCTGCGTTAGTCTCTTTGCGTCATACTGCTGCGTTAGTCTCTTGCGTCATACTGCTGCGTTAGTCTCTTTGCGTCATACTGCTGCGTTAGTCTCTTGCGTCATACTGCTGCGTTAGTCTCTTGAGTCATACTGCTGCGTTAGTCTCTTGCGTCATACTGCTGCGTTAGTCTCTTGCGTCATACTGCTGCGTTAGTCTCTTGCGTCATACTGCTGCGTTAGTCTCTTGCGTCATACTGCTGCGTTAGTCTCTTGCGTCATACTCTTGCGTTAGTCTCTTGCGTCATCCTCACACCACTCTCGCAGCCTCAAATTCGGCCAGAGTGCCTGTCGACGCCTCCCTGGAGCCAGAGTGCTCCTCGACGCCTCCCTGGAGACAGAGTGCTCCTCGACGCCTCCCTGGAGACAGAGTGCTCCTCGACGCCTCCCTGAAGCCAGAGTGCTCCTCGACGCCTCCCTGGAGCCAGAGTGCTCCTCGACGCCTCCCTGGAGCCAGAGTGCTCCTCGACGCCTCCCTGAAGCCAGGTGCTCCTCGACGCCTCCCTGAGCCAGAGTTCTCCCTCGACGCCTCCCTGAAGCCAGAGTGCTCCTCGACGCCTCCCTGGAGCCAGAGTTCTCCTCGACGCCTCCCTGAAGCCAGAGTGCTCCTCGACGCCTCCCTGAAGCCAGAGTGCTCCTCGACGCCTCCCTGGAGCCAGAGTGCTCCTCGACGCCTCCCTGAAGCCAGAGTGCTCCTCGACGCCTCCCTGGAGCCAGAGTGCTCCTTGACGCCTCCCTGGAGCCAGAGTGCTCCTCGACGCCTCCCTGAGCCAGAGTGCTCCTCGACGCCTCCCTGGAGCCAGAGTGCTCCTCGACCGCCTCCCTGAAGCCAGAGTGCTCCTCGACGCCTCCCTGCAGCCAGAGTGCTCCTCGACGCCTCCCTGGAGCCAGAGTGCTCCTCGACGCCTCCCTGAAGCCAGAGTGCTCCTCGACGCCTCCCTGCAGCCAGAGTGCTCCTTGACGCCTCCCTGGAGCCAGAGTGCTCCTTGACGCCTCCCTGGAGCCAGAGTGCTCCTCGACGCCTCCCTGAAGCCAGAGTGCTCCTCGACGCCTCCCTGCAGCCAGAGTGCTCCTCGACGCCTCCCTGGAGCCAGAGTGCATCACACAGTCAGCTGTCCTCAGCTCATCCTTTATGCTGAGGGAGGTAGAGAGAGCAGGAATTGTCAGTTGGTGGTGCGGGAGGGGGGGTGGAGGGGGGAGGTGGAAGGGGGGATGGACTACAGGTAGGTGCTCTGAGGGAGCACGAGGGTAGTCTCTGTCTGTCTGTCTGTCTGTATCTCACATACGCCTTCTCTCACTATTTCCCTCTGTTTCACTCTGTCTATTGTCTCTCACACTCTGTCTCACCCCTCTCTGTCTATTGTCTCTCACACTCTGTCTCACCCTCTCTGTCTATCTCACACTCTCTCTCTCTCTCTCTCCTCTCTCTCCTCTCTCCTCTCTCTCTCTCTCTCTTCCGTCTTCCCCCCCCCCCCCATATCCAACAGCCCGGGCCCGGATATAAAAAAAGCATAACAAGAGACCGATCATAACCGAGTCAGCCGCCCAATACAAACTTCTAATCGACGGTGATTTAACTCGATTACTCGCAAACTTCTGCCCCAAGTTTTGCTCCTGGTGTTATTGTTGGTAGTATTTCCTGGGGTAAAGGTCGTCACCAGCTTGTTAGTGGCATACGGGCCCTTGTTGGGGCCGGTTAAAGCGACCGGTGATTTGTTCGGTCGCCACTTGACGTGATATATTCGGATAACCGGGGATATCTGAGGTTTTAGCTGTCATAACGAGGTTGTGACTTAAGAGACAGTATGAGCTTTAAACCGTCTCAGGGTCCTGGAATTGACAGGGGGTGACAGCCCGTCAAGCCCTTGCCGTATGTCGCTGTGCTTGCCAGGTCACGGTGTGTGTGACCTGGGTACACACACACACACACACACACACACACACACACACACACACACACACACACACACACACACACACACACACACACTGATAAAGAAGAAGGATATACACCAACACATGAATGCTTTCTCAGAAATAATTTTACAACAAT